CAGTCACACACCAAAAAACAAAAAACAACCGACCACTTTTGCGTCATTTCGCATAAACGACGTCCCAAAGATTCGAAAACCACATTTTTCTAAATCTCCAAGAAACAACCAGCTTGAATATGGCCTCCATATTTTTCATGAGTTTCCATTTTTACCCATCGAGAATTGCTAAGTTCCCAATTATACCCTACGCTTGGTTCGCCGTACCGAGCCGAACCGATCACGACCACCTTCCCTGACCTCCTCACCGCCATGTAAGACACATTGCACACGTCAGCAGGTAGATTGTCAACTTTATGCCACGTGTCGTCTCTCATCACCATCAGATCACGGCGACAACAAGCGTAAAGTTCTCCGTTTTCGCCTGCTGCACAGATCGGAGGCCACGTAGACATCTCCGTAGAGAGAAACCCGTCCGATCGTATACCCCACCGCCACGTGGCGACATCGAACGATTCAGCGGTTTTACTGAACTGACCTTGTTCCTCCGTGGCGTAACCACTGATGACGTGGAATTTGCCAGCGTGGAAAATAGCCGTGCATTCGTCTCGCTCACGGCCCATATCAGGCAAAAAAGCCCATTTATCTTCTGCCACGTCATAAACTAAAGCTGACGTAAGCGCGTTCTTGTCTTCGTCGTGTCCTCCCGCCACGAACACGTTCCGTTGAGAATCCGAAGCGCAGGCGAAGAAGGAACGGGGTCCACCTGGCATGCTCGTCCCGTTTCGCCACGTGGACGTCAAGAAACTGAAGATGAAGACGGAATCAGAGGTCCGCCACGTGACCGGGTCAAGCCCGCCCAATACGACAAGATCGGACCCGACAGAAGCTAATCTGCAGAACAGAGGCAAACCAGTGGATTGACCGGGAACCGGAGGAAGCTCGATCCATAGACCGGACCCAAGTTCAAGAACCGAGATCCGGTACAGAGGCGTGGGGATGGTTTTTCCAAGTTCTTGGACCGGGTCGACCCGAGCTTGAGACAAGACAAGAAGCTCTTGGCTATGTCCTGAAGTTTTCCGGTGTCGGAAAAAATCAGAGAGGCTGATTTCTCGCTGCCAGATTTTGGATACGGAGGCGATGAGAGGGAATTGCTGGTATGAGGCGCGTAAGAGACACTCGCGAGCTATGGTTTCGGGAAGATCAGGAATAAGCTCCATCGTTTAAGAAAAATATTTAAGGATTTGAGATATTATGGAGGTGAGAGAGAAGAGTGTCGCTACTTTATAGGGAGAACTCTTCTCGAAGCTATAAACTGAAAGTGAATTTTTTAATTCGATGATACTTGTAATTGATAAGGTATTTTTATTTTTTGATGTGCTATTTATGCTTCCAAAAAGAAATAAAAATGGTTAGACTAGAGAAGTGATGTTTACGTTTTTCATAAAGGAGAAAAATTCAATGTTCTTTGAATTCTTTTGCTTTTAAGACTCTTTTATTTGTTTGTTTCTGAAAAATTTATTTGGTCAGAACTCTTTTATCGTATAATATACA